TCTGGAATATATTGATATATTTTAAATTGATCTGTGGTAGTTGCATGCTGGTTAAGAAGATATACATTTCCATATGTGGGATAATTTTTAACTTAATATTGATTTTCTAAAAGGCTCACACATTTTTGTCACAATTTAATAATAACCTTTGTCGCCAAACTCAGCTTTTGACAAATTATGCCAGCATTATTTTTTTCAATATTATTTCAAATATATTGATCAAGATGTAAAGAAATGATGGGAAATTATTATCGTATTTTCTCTGTTAATAGCAGTGCACATATGTGACAGAGATATCCATGGTTAAAAAAAAAAAGTCACTTTTTAAAAATCCAGTATACAATGAATGCAATTTTGATATTATGTGCACTTTTTTGGAGATGCGCTTCTATTGAAGAAAATATGGTATATTTATTTGGTTCCAAATCAACAAAGAAATAGTAGAAAAACACATAATAATTTGCAAAACAGTGTACCCAAATTCTGGCTCGAAATTAATGGTGTTCAAAGGATTGAACAAGTACGAGTACTCGGGGTATTTCCACTGATTAGATTCAGTTGTTATTGTGTACTTAATTTCCATCATCACAAACATACAAACTGAAAGTCAACTTCATATTTGGTTTTATTTACAGAGATGTATATTATATGTAATGTGTCATTAATATTTGTAAATAACGCAGTCTGTAAAACATACGTATTATAATTTTCCTTTCTCATTTACATGTGTCATACTTATATTTGAATCTGTGAACACAGTTGTTGTTAGTCTCAGAATTATTTATGTTTAAATTATTTTGCAATAGAAAATTTGTAGGGGAAAAAAAACAAACATTTTTTATCATAATATTAAATTTGGAATAGCTTGATCAACTGAATAAAATGATTTGCATATGTTATTCCGCCCTTGGTGCACTTTGACCTTTGATGACGTTCACTGATAATCAGCAAGATATGGAGTGTGTAAGAAATATTTGATCTGTTTTTGAATTCCTGACTGAGTGTCAATTACGTGAAAATAAGTAAATTCAAGAATATTGTACGTGGGTTTTGCATTTATTGTATGCAAATGAGTGACTCCAGCAACATGAATTCATGGAAATCATAGACTCTGTATTCTATTGAGTGAAATATACACTAGCATTTATGTTAATAATGTAAACTGCTGCGTTTTCAATGCCTGAAATTATTACAGTATGAGGGTGTTCATGAGATCCTAGTTCGCGAAAATCAATCCAAACAATGGATGTATGTTGCAAATCTGCGAAAATATGTCACTTGCGAAATTAAAGTGGTTTTATAATATTTGTGATTTTTAATGACATTGTTGCATCAGATTTGTTGTTCACTAACGACAAATGACGAGAGTATGAGTCATGAGAGGTCGGTATATGGAATTATTTTAGAATGCCTCAGTCTGTCTGTATTTCATAAACAAATAATGAACATGACCATATTGTCTCACTCACAGTTTTTCTATCATACATTTTATTAATTTGATTAATTTCCAGTGATATGTATATGGTGTAATGTACAGTACTGTTTGTCGAGAATCTTCCTTTTTATTAAAATATGAATTAAAAATATTGGTATACATTTAAAAGAAAAATAAGGCTTTCTCTAAAATTATTTGTGGCGAGTGTAAGGGTTAACACATGCAATGTAATCTGTTTTCATTCATCAAAGGGTTTGTGTGTGGAATGATCAACGGTAGGTATAAGTGATTGTTGCATCCTCATATCGATAGACCAGAGTCAAATCCTACTGGGGAAGCCAAAGCCACATGTAGAGATTCATTCACTAACGGATGTGATTGTGGGAGAAAATTGATTAATTAAGATTCACATCTGCGCATGTTCAACCGGGAGTGGTTGTGCTGAGATGTATCACATCAAATAGCTGTTAATGCAAAGAAAATTGTCGCAGAGCTCTGTCCAAAACATGATATACATAAAAGTAATGTAATGACACTGAAATATGCAATACAAGCGCCCCCCCCCCCCCCCATGTTTTAAGATATTGTGAGAATTTTATACCTGAACTCATTGGCTCAAAATCTTCATTTTAATGGGTATTTACTTGAGTCTTGTGCGTAAGGAAGTTTGATGATCATTATTTTTTTCATTTACCTTCTATGAACAACAGCATAACGCTCCTATCAATGTTTTCCATTAGTAGGGAGGTGTGTGGGCTGAATAGGTGAATTTGAGATATTTTTTTTTGGCTTAGCTTATCAAACTCCTCACTCATTCAAGGGACATGACAAAATGCCAATAATCACAGTTTGGGGGATAAACTGACGACATTATAGCAATCCCTGCCATCAAATTTTTCTTGTATACAGCGACACAACCTCTATCTAAATTCCCACTGTGTGACTATTTGTAGCATTTTGTAGTCATTTTCTCGTTGCTGCATACTACACCCCCTACCAACCCCAGTGATAGGTTGATAAGAACTTCAAGGAAACTTAATCATTCGTTTTGAGAGATGACAACTGCCCTAATGGGGACGTGTCCTGAAATGGGTCGTGTTTTTTGGATTTTAGGTTAGGTATAAATATCAGTAATATTTTTCCGATTTGTTATATTTGGAACAAACAGTGATGACAGAAATGGTATAAATATGAGTATAGATTTTGCCACTATCCAGGTATAAAAATGGTTACAGTTTTGAACACTCAGGGGCACCTCCCTACCCAGCTATGTATCAACTGCCCCCCCCCCCGGAAACTGCCTGTATAAACAATGTTGAATGGTCCAATAGATAAAATTTTATATTAGCTTATACAATGATAGTAACACCCTGATTAGATATTTCCATCATACAAATCCTACCTTTGTACCACAGGCTTAATAGACATTTCACAATATATTATACTAACAATGTATGGGTATCTAAAAAAAAATCAATTCTTTAATTTTTACAATACGTAATACAAAATAGCATGGTATTGCACCAACACACATTTTAATATAAAACAAAAGCAATTGGTTTTGTCAGCGTAATCATTAGTTCAAATAAAAACTCGCAACTTATTTTCTGAATTCTGCCAAAATATTGTACAAATAATCAAAAAATATAATTATTCAAATATTAATTAAATAATTATTTTGTTACATTAATTAGTTTTAATATTTAACAAATATGCAGTAAGAATATTAGTACAAGCGACTAATATATAAATAACGAATAAATAAAAGAACACGCCCAAATTACGATTTCAATTAGACTGAACAGATACATGTGCAATGTCTTGCAGGCTATACGCCCACGTAATAAAAGTGAAGCGATTTGTACCATATGGTCTGTGACCAAACGCGTATTACGTCAGAAATGGAGGAAAGAAATGAAATAAAGTCTACGTCATTACCCTTATATATAATATAACGTATACTAAATGGTTTCCTAACAATCACTGAAAACAATCGCTGGTGGGATTTTTTTTTTGCTCCGTGGTTTGCACGTGAACCTCTTTGGTCTGTACGGGACCGTTTATGATTATACCACAGTTGCATGATATACTAACATTGTTAGCTTGTAGCAAAATTTCGCCATCCAATACATTCGTTGAGCTCAGTCATTTTAGATTATAAATATAACTCGGTTGTTTACTTCCTTGCTAAAAAAAACATCAAGTGACGTGGCAGTTTTACTGTGACCGCAAGAAATAAGGGAACGGAAATATTGCAGTATAGTCCACTGTTTTGCTAATGATAAGCTATATTGCTTCCCGTGGCAACCCTTTGTATAATGTAGCTATTTTGTTAGGAAAACATTGTCACATACTGCCGTTCCATTCTTTCCTGAAGACAAGAGTAAATCAGCTTTTTTTTCAGCAGCTCGTCACGGTGTTGTTTGTGGATTGTAGTCACGTGATAAGTATCACATGATTATATCCCAGTGTGCTTTGTAACTGATGACGTCATGAGAGAGAGGGAAGCTATTACGAGCTGCTGGTG